AGGAACATACCAACATCCCTCATCCTTTAATTTTTTTTTAAAGATGAAAGGGGACATAAACAAAGATAAAGGCTACTGAGTGACATCAAAATTAAAAGAACCAGGTCAAGGATGCTAAAGGACTGAATGAGGTGAGTTTGCAAAATGTTGAAGGCAATAAGGAAGGCTTTATAAAGTTACACTTGTCTATTTAAAGTTACTCCTTGACCAGGACCTTTGCCTTATTCACTTCATATCTCCATAGTGCCTTATGCTCAAAAATATAGGTTAATTGGTTAAATGAGGGGTTTATACTGAAAGAAGAAAGTAAATGACAAGTTCACTCCCATTTTCTAAAGAAAAAAGAGGGTATAAAAGTCAGTGAGGGAAGAACATCAAGTAGTAGTATTGAATTCAGGTTCAAGCACTGAAAAATTACAGTTCAGGTGCCCAAAAAACATACTAAGTAATCCCAGTGCACCCAATAATATCAATAGAAGAAATATCCATTTAGAGAAACCAAAATGTCTCCCAGTTTTTAAATGAAAGTGTGGAGATTTGACGATACATGCAATGGCAAGGGTGAAATGAAATACTTAATGAGTGGTTAAAAAGAATTTGTAGTCAAATTAGATACCAACACGGGATCCTAAAACATATCATTATGGCAAAGAATCCCATGTCATTTCCTGAGAGAGCTACTAAAATGGTAGATTACTTGGTATTAGATAAACATTTGACAGTCTTTGAAGTGTTAAGTTATTTATCACTATTTGAACACAACACTATAAAAATATTTTGAAGTAGTAGTAGACATAATACTGATACATTATATACTCACTATAAAATCTAAAGTCTGTTCCATGGTCCACAAGGCCCTCCACAATTTGGCTTCCCCTTCTCTAAGTGAATCTCCTACCACTAGACCCACAGCTATACTCCTGCCTCAGGGCTACTGTATTTCTTGTTTCCATTGCCAGAAATACTTTATCAGATGGTTCACTCCCATCTTCATTCAGGTCTCTGTTCAAATGTCACCTACTAAATAAACTACCCTTCCTTGAATTCCATATATAGATTAACTGCGTGCTCTCCCTACGCTTCACAATTCTAGCCCCTTTGCTCTTTTATTTTTCTTCAAGGAATTTGCTACACTGAACATATACTTACATGTTTACTGTCCAACACCCCCCAAAGAAGTCCAAGAGCACAAAGCAGGAACTAGTAAACTGCTAATGTGAAGGGCACACAGTAAATATTTTAGGGCTTTGTGGGTCACACAGTTTCTGTTTCAACTGTAACCAAATGAGCATGATTGTGTTCCAATAAAATTTTATTTTAGACACTGAAATTTGCATTTCATGTAATTTTCACATGCCATGAACATTATTCTCCTTTTGATTTTGTTTTCAACCATTCAAAAAAACATTAGCAGGCCGGGTGTAGTGCCCCATGCCTGTAATCCTAGCACTCTGGGAGGCCAAGGTGGGAGGATCGTTTGAGCTCAGGAGTTCAAGACCAGCCTGAGCAAGAGCGAGATCTCGTCTCTACTAAAAATATAAAAATTATTATACAAATAGCCAACGGATATATGAAAAAGTGCTCAGCATCTCTAATCAGGGAAACGCAAATTAAAACTACAATGAGATATCACCTCAGGCCTGTTGGAATGGCTGTTATCAAAAAGACAATAACAAATGCTGGTGAGGATGCGGAGAAAAAGGAATCCTTGTACAGTGTTGGAATGTAAATTAGCACAGCCATTTGGAAAATAATATGGAAGTTCTACAAAAAAACTAAAAATAGAATTACCATATGACCTAGCAATCCCACTTCTGGGTATATATCCAAACGAACTGAAATCAGTATGTCAAAGAGATAGGTTCATTTCAGCATTATTCACAACAGACAAGATACAGAAGCAACCTAAGTGTCCATCAATGAATGAATGGATAAAGAAAACATGGTATACACACACAACGAAATACAGTACAGCCTTAAGAAGGAAATTCTGCCATTTGAGACAACATGGATATAACTAGAGGACAGTACACTAAGTGAAATTAGCCAGGCAAAGACAAATACTACATGATCTCTTATCTGGAATCTAAAAAAGTCAATCTCATAGAAACAAAGAATAGAAAGGTGGTTACGAGAGGCTGGGGGGTGGGAGAAGGAATGAAAAAGGGAAGATGTTGATCAAAGGGTACAAAATTACAGACCGGAAGAATAAGTTTCAGTGCTCTACTGCACTGTATATAGACCACAGTTAATAATAATGTATTGTACACAGCACTGGTTTCACTGAATAAAACTTGCTATCTTTAGGAATGTTTTTTAAAATTCCAAATAAGCTAAATATTATTTTCCCAGTTTATAACTGGAGACACTAGACTCAGAATGATCTTAGAAATAAAATTTTGAATGTATACAGTTTATTTTGATTTATCATTATCGGCCAAAGATAAGGCTTGAAAACCATAAAGATACACCTTAAATTAGGGTCAACATTATAAAAAATAAATAGTGGCATTTCCAAGTAATATGTTTTACATTCACTCTTTCAAAACCCAATGTAAGTAGTTTTTAGAAATTGTTTTCTCTAATAGTAACCAATTATAAGTTTTGTCAGATATAGACAAGTAAGTAGGGAAAGCAGGCAAGTTTAAGTAGACCGATTTCACTTTTA